TCCCCGCAAGGCGGGCGCGGAGGCAGTGGAGGAGGCGCCCGGGAGCCGGGAGGACGGGAGGGGAGCTGGGGGAGGGGCTGTCGGGCAGCGGCTCAGGAGGAGCTCAGGGCTCCTCGCGAAAGTGCGGCCAGAGCCCGGAAGCGTCTGCAGGCCCTGGTGCCGGGAGGAGACGTGGAGGCCTTTCGGGGAACCACGACGACTTCAACGGTGACGCATTTGTGCAAAATGATACAGATGTATCTATTTAAATTCCGTCTGGAAGGCAGGAGCCATCCTATCCTATCCGCCTGCAAGTGCTCCACGCAACTAGAAATCAGGAACAGCAGCCAAGAGGGTTATAAAAATAATTAATAACAATAATTAGAAAGCCGCGCGGAGGCTGGGAAGGTGGTAGGTCTCCTGGCTCATTGCTTCAGCATCACCGCCCCACGCCTTTCTTTCTCAGCACGAGCTTGAGTCATTTTCTATGAAATCGGTGACTAAGAGAGATGCAGCATATTGCACCCCCAAGCTAGCCACAAAGAGGCGAGCCCTCGTCAGGAGACCGCAAATGTTGTTTGTGCTCCCCCTGCAGGCGACATTGTCCGAGGCTTCCTTTCTTTCCCAAAGGTCTCTCCAAAAGTATTCGTTTGTGATCCTTGAGATACGATGATGTGTCCTCATGCTCTGAGATTTGGCCAGGGATCCAGGGCCAACCCTGCGCCTCTGTCTGGCAAGTCCGGAAACACTTGTCTGGCCAGGACCATTCTGTGGCCCACGGCTGCTTAACACTCACGGCACTGGAGCGAAGGCGCAGACTGCGCTGACCCTACACCACACGCCATCCCCAGCTTGCTGACAGGGAAGTCGCTTCCATTCACGGATTCACAGTGGTAGAAATTGCTGTGCTGAGAGGCGCGTGGGGTCATTTAGGCCCTCGCCCTCGGGTTTGGGGCGAGAAAAACTGGTACCTGGGAAGTAGTTACAAAAAGTCTTCCTTTTAATTCCTGGCAGTCAAGGATTTCAGGAGCACTTGAGGAAAATGCTCACTGAGAAGTGCTCATTTCATTTTCATGACACCCCCCCCCCCCGGACCAATTCTCAAATCCTAAACCCGATTCCAAATCTACCAGGAAGATTTCGAGTATCATGTAAAGTTTCTGGTGAAAGTATGGGGAACATCTCTCTATACCCTGCCCACCGTGTTTGAGTAGAGAGGTTCTTGCACTGACTGCGTTGATAAATCTGAAAGTTACTTCGTAAGTTCTCAAAGGCTAAGAAAGGCAATCAATTGCCTTGAAGTCTGATCTTGCCACTTTTTAGTGGCGGGGTGGAAGGGAAGGTTTGCTGCCTGAAAGACGGTTAGCTCAGGCCACCTTTGCAGAGGCTAGTATTCTGAAAGGAGGATCCATGGACGAGGTGAAAGAGCCACGGGAACCAGCTCTGCGGAAAACTGAATTTGGTCCAAGCACCATAAGTTAGCCTTTCTCCGTGCCTCGGTTTTCTGCTCTAAAAATGTGAGCTCATCGCACAGGGACCCCAGGTTCTGGATGGCTGTGGGACGCTCTGGGAATCTCAGAGCACACTCCAAGTTGGGAACTGATGTGCCATGAATCATGCAGTGGTGATTTCATTGGCGACAGTGACCTCATTCCCTTGGCCCACAGTAACGCCAAACAGACTGCCAAGAATATTGGAGCTCTGGGGACCGTCACACCTGGTATGGATATGGATTGAAAAGGGATGGGGGGGTCATCCGGAATGCTGTCTCTGCTCCCTTAAACTGGAAATAATTAGACGGCTGCAAGACCCTCGATTTCCCATGGGTCTTGGGGACCTCGATTTCCCATGGGGGGGAGAGAGAGAGAGGAGAGAGAGAGAGGAGAGAGAGAAGAGAGGAGAGAGAGAGAGAGAGAGAGAGAGAGAGAGAGGAGAATATGCCCAAGTGGTAAAACAGAACAAAAACAAAAACAGTTCTCAAATGTCAAGGACTGAGGGACAGGAAGCAACTTTGTTCCTAAGCATCCCATAGGCCTCTGCCCCCCCCCCCTTTGTCTGAGCTGTGAACACTGAAACAGACGCAGGTCTGTGTGGGAACAGTGAACTTGTCTAGGCAGCCTTCTCTTTTTCCCCTACTCCTTCCTTCCTCCTCCTCATTGATTCATTCAGTATTTTATTTAACAAGCATGAATTGAGGTCGACTAGAAGCCAGGCTTTCTTCCTGGCCAGGAGACTTAGAGCTGGCAAGCCACCATCACTAGAGGGGGAGCGGAAAGGAACCGATGGGCAAACAGATAATTGCTATATAATGTAATCAGTACTGTGGTAGGGGAGAAAGAGCAGGCTTCTGGAGGAGCCCAGGAGGCAGTAGTAGTGCATAGCCGTGGGTGTGCTGAGGAAGGATTTGCGGAAGTGGTATCACTGGCCTGGGGCTCCTGAGGCTAATAGAAGGTCTGGGGGAAGCAGATGGTGTGTACTGGCCAAGGGAGAACAGCACACAATTTTTTAGGAATGGTGTCCATCTGAGGTAGACAGAGGGCAGGCTTAATGGTACATAAGAGCCGATGACACTGCTTGTTTGTCAAACTTTATTTGTGGTAGAATATTATTTTAAGGTGTGTGGCTTTTGTTTATGCTGCATTTGTTCAACTCTGTGAAGCTGTGTTACTGTGCCTGTCTAAAACTCCTGATGGTCTAATAAAGTGCTGAACGGCCAATAACGAGGCAGGAGCAAGGATAGGTGGGGCTGGCAGGCAGAAAGGATAAATAGAAGGAGAAACTAGGAATGAGGAGCAGCAAGAGAACAAGGCAAGGAGGACAGCAGGGACCAGCCACCCAGCCAGCCAGCCAGCCAGCCAGCCAGCCACACAGTAAGAAGGAAAGTAAGAAAGATTCAAGCCCAGAGGGAAAAGGTAAATGGGATAAATTAAGATAAGAAAAGCTGGCTATCAACAAGCCAAGCTAAGGCCAGGCATCCATAAGTAATAATAATCCTCCATGTGTTGGGGGGACTGGGTCCCCCCCCAAGCCAAAAGAGTAAAAAATTAAAACAATACTTATTCCTATAGGGACGCATACAATCAAAGAGGTTCATCTTTATCTACATAGCAAGAGATAAAGGCACTGTCTAGGTGAGCTGTGGCCCTAAAAACAAGATTGGCAAAGCACTGCTGTGGGCGGTACCTGTGTTGTACTGTGTACTCAGATGAAGGTCAGTGAAGATAATCTTGTTTTATCTTTGAAATGACTGCAGGATAAGACTTGTAGACAGCAGCTATTAGTTGGTCTGTCTAGGACAGTACTATTTGCTTCTGATAAATATTCTTTGTAATCTCCTCTCTGTTGTCACCTGGCTTGATGGGAAGCTCTCATCTTACACATCCTGCCCGAACTCCCAAGGACTGGCCTATGTGGGTACCGAATCCAAGGCAAGACAAGACACACATTTCCTGAAACTTTCAAATTTGGGATTCAGAGCAGGACTCTCCTCTTTTACTGCATGGCAGGTTTGTGTGGGTCTGAAAATGGTTAGCGACTCAGGAGCTAGGCGGTGCCAGACAGTGAAGCCAGAGGGCAGAGAGAAGCAACCGTGGAGATGTGCCACCCTGAAGGTGTGCATATACACATCCACACACGTGCACAGAAACTACAAGGCAAAGCTCGTGTAGGTAATCTAAGTTCAGGGTCTATTGTCCTGAGGCCTTGCTGACTCTTCAGACAATCAAACTGAGTTAACACAGCTGTTCCTTTTGCCTAATGTCTTGAAGTTAGTTTTCAGTCACTGGTACCCAAGGAATTCTGACTCTTACAGTGTTCTCTTCATAAGCTGAGGTAAGGAATATGCAAAGATTTAGAAACTTGCTCAGTTACTCAGCCAAGAAGCGGGGCTAAGGTTTGAAATGTCTTCAACCCCATGCTACTGGCTATACGTTCCACGACAGTGCATCAAAGATTGCAAAGAAAAAAAAAATGACAAATTTGGGACTGTCATTTGAGACCACTCTCAAGCATGGATTTGGTGAATAGGAGGAGACTAAGAGGGAGGGAGGAGGGGAGACATCATGTAAGACTGAATGAAGCAGGAGAGATGGCTCAGAGGTTAAGAGCACTGGCTGTTCTCCCAGAGGTCCTGAGTTCAATTCCCAGCAACCACATGGTGGCTCACAACCATCTCTAATGAGATCTGGTGCCCTCTTCTGGCGTGCAGGCAGAACATTGTATACATAGTAAATAAACCTTAAATGAAAGATCGAATGAGGAATTACCATGAACATGAAGAGAGTGAAATTCAAGAATGTTTCTATGACAGAAATCCACAGGGCTTAGTAACACCATGGGGGGGGGTTACCTTCCATTTACTGCTCTGACCAGTGGTTTTCCTTGACTCCCTAATTAAACACAAGCCTTGGACAATCTCTGATTGGATAAATCCAGTTCATCCTTAAGCCAGGCATGGTAGTAGTGAAAGGTTAGATGGCTCTGGCTAGCACCTGGGTTATGCTTTGTCCAAAAAAACAATCATTGTGGGAGGGAGTGGGGCCATTTTGATTGGCTCTACAAGCCAATCAAAATGAGGCATGGGCTTCATCCTGGCTAGATTCTGTGCTTCCCGTGTGATGGGCAGCAGTTATGAAGGAGAATTTCAGCTGGAGAGGCAGCCAGCAACATCGATTCCATCTGGGTTATTGCTCATCAGAGGTCCTAGGCCTCTCAATGCTGCAGTGGAAATGACAGTTTTAAAGGGAGAATGGAAGCATTCGTCAGATCAGGTATAGAGGAAGGTGAGATGGGTCCATCTCACATCCCCAAGTTGGTGCCAATCCCAGTCTGTTGGTTTGTCTCTATAGGAGCCCATGCTCACTCCAAGTCTTGGTGTGTTTCTCCTCCCTCTCTGAAATTCCTTCTGGGAAGTTATCAATAAGGAAGTGAAATGATCATCATGCTTCATGATTCTGCTGTCTCTTACACATTGTCCCTAGGCTCAGATTGAGCCACATAACTGCTGAGGACTCCCCCTACCACTCAGACTCTACTGACTTCGTGTCACCTGGCCATATACCATGCCTATGCTTTTCCTTCCTATTTCCACCTCCCATCTTCATTGCTTTCTTTAGTAACAGACATTGCATGGTATTTTGAGTGGGGGGTACTAACGGCTTAAACACTGTAGTGAGTTCTTTTTTTTTTTTTTTTTTTGGTTTTTCAAGACAGAATTTCTCTGTGTAACTTTGTAGATCAGGCTGGCACAGAGATCCACCTGCCTCTGCCTGCCTCCTGAGTGCTGTAATTAAAGGTGTGTGCCACCACCACCCGGCCTCTGTAGTGAGTTCTTAAAAGTCATTGGGTCTTAATGATTGGAACGATAAAAAGCAAATCTAATAAAATTGCCTCACCTGGTTTTCATTTCCAAGTTAATGGAACTAGATCCCCCTTTCCAGTTCAGTGCCTCCCAGAAATTCAGGACTGTACCCCAGACACTGAGGATTTGAGCTGAAGGTACCACTCATAATGTTTTGCCATCCTCTGCCTTCCTCTACACCCTGGGTTTAGGAAAGCTGTCATTGTGACTGGCAGCATCACCACCCATTGCTGTAGGAAAGAACACGTCCTTAGAGGTTGCTACAATAGAAAACTCATATAACTTGGCAATTGTCCCCTTCCATAGCGTCAAAGAAGACTGGGTCACAGATTTCTCTTTGAGAAACAAAGTCACCATTTTATCCCATGCTTCAGTACTGAGAGTGGTATAATTGAGTTCCTGGTTCAGAAGTTGTTTAGATATAGGGGCCAGCCAAACTCATTTGTAGCTATTCTTTCATAGTGGATGTTTTGGTCAGTGAACATCAGGACCACATTTTGAATGTGCAGCATCTTCTAGTTCAGTGATTCTTATCCTGTGATTTGTGACCCCCTTTGGGGTCATACATCATCATACCCTACACATCAGCTATTTACATTACGATTCCTAACAGTAACAACATTACAGTGATGAAGCAGCAATGAAAATAATTTTATGGTTGGGGGTCACCACAACATGAGGAACTGTATTAAAGAGTCTCGGCATCAGGAAGGTTGAGGACCACGGGTCTAGTTTGTAAGTCTCAGTGGAAGGGAAGAGCTAACCTTAAAGTAAAGATAGACGTTGCAGATGTTCAATCCTTGCCAAATTCGTGAGTTAGTGAAACTTGGGTTGAATATAAGCCACATACTCTCTGGAGGTCCAGCTTCAGTGGTGGGTAAGCCAGTCAGTTTCTGACACGGGAAGTGGCACCTCCGGAAGGCAGTGGTTGTAGATGTGGCATGATTGAGTTCCTGCTTCAAAAGTGGCAGGTGTACACATGGGTTGTTGAAAGTTAGGTGACAGGAATGGTGCTGGAAGTGGTTTTCTTACCAGAAAAGCTCCCTGGGTGTGTACTGGACTCCATACCTATCTTCAACAGTTTCTCTAGCCCTTCCACAACCCTGCATGCCATTTATGATTCTCTTAAGGTTCTCCATGCCTTTTCTGTTTAATCAGACATCATTTCTGTCACTTGCAACCCAGCCTCCTGAGAAAGGAGTGGACAAGCAGATGTATTTCATGTAATCAGCGTAGCAGTGTTCACTTCTACCACAGCAAGCAACAGTACCAGATCGATCTTCCTGATGTAAGGAATTTGAAAATGGCACCAAACGCAAAAAGCCACTGTGTGGTAGTTTGAATGTAACTGGCCCCCATAA